ATATATATATATATATATATATATATATATATAAATAAAATGTTTACGTAGTATATATTACTGTGTACGTATAGTAGTATACTAGTTTTTTACGCGCATTGCACTATTGGAATAATGTCCAATGTTTTTTTTTTTTTTAAATAAGTACTTTAAAGTATATCAATGCAAGATTATATTGGAATTGTTCATGCATAGATAATCGAATGTTAAATTTACATATTTAAATATGCAATTTTAAGTTTACAAATGCAAGATAATATAATCAAGATTGATTATAATTGTCAATAAAATAATTGTATAGGTATGGTTGAAACCAAATACGGGACATAAGGGAGAGCAAATAAAAATTATGGCATAAAATATTAAATATATACTAATATTGAAGAGCTAATTGCTGATTGTCAAACAAGGACAATGCGAGAGAGTTTCTCACTTCAATTTGTTGTGTGATTTGAATGCTCTTTTTGTCAATAAATCCCCCAAGAAGTTAATATGATTAGCTTAATTATATTTTTTTATTTATTTTTTATTATTATTATTATTATTATTATTATTATTATTATTATTATTATTATTATTATTATTATTATTATTATTATTATTATTATTATTATTATTATTATTATTATTCTTACGTCATTTTACATGTTAATCTAAACAGCTAATTTTTTCAAATATCTTTTTATCACCGTGATATAATTCGCTGGTCAAATCCGCTAACCGCTAACTGCGAGGTAAAACAAGGACATTGCGAGGTAGTTTCCCACTTCAATTTGTTGTGTGATTTGAATACTCTCTTTGTCAACAAATCCCTCAAGTAGTTAATATGATTGCCTTTATTAATTATATTTTTTAATTTTTTCATGGTATTAATAAAATATACTTGGTAAATAAATATATAGCATTATTTTGTATTATAACTTTGATATTCAATTAAAAAATAGTGCACAAAAAAGATAATAGACAATGTAGTGAATATAATTGTAAACACACAAAATAAACTTTGTATATATTCACAAAATTCGTTTACAGTGTGTGTATATAATTCAAAACGTCGGTACAAAATCTCTGTGTAGTACTCTGATTCTTCACTAACGTTATCTACTTAGTGCCTCCGGAATTCAAGTAGCGTAGCCTCCGGGATTCAATTGGCGCGTGCCTCCGGGATTCAATTGGCGTGATCTTCAACAGCAAACGTCAAGTTTCGAAGCAATCAACCCTGCAAAGTTTTAAAGCACCTACAAAATGGGTTCAAGTTGCCTTCAAAATATTCAAAATCTGCAAAATGCCTTCAAATCTTCAAGCGTTTTTCAATGCCCTCAAACCCTTCAAGTCTTTAAGTTCTTCAAATGCTCTCAACACCTCAAGTCTTCAATTGTGTTTTTGGAATGTCAAATGAAGGTCCTATTTATACTAAAAGGCCTAACGAAAATCCCTCAACAAACTCCCCTTTTTAATTAATTAATTAGTTAATTATTTATTTAGGACAATGAACCTTACCCAAAATAAAGTCTAGATTCGTTATTGTATAATCTTATTCAAATTCAAATTGAATTATAATTATTTAATTCAAATATAATAAAATTATATTATATTCAAATCATAATCATAATTATAATTGTAATTCAAATTCAAATATGAAATGGGCTTAGACCAATTAATTAATTAAGTCAATAGCCCAAAGTCAAACTTAATTGGGCTCATTAAATTAATTTAATTATTATGGTCCAATTAATTAAATTTGTCTAATAATCAATCTCAACATCGGCCCAATAACAATTTTGTCCGTCCATTTGTTGGGTCCAAATTTTCAGTGTCTACAATAATCAAATGATGAATTTGAATGTAAAGAATTTTTATATTGGAGAAATATAAAGATAATATAACTAATAAAATTATTTCTCTTAATTAATTTATTGATAATGAATAATTTTTTTAAATAAAGACATTGTAGGAACAATGTAGCGAATATAATCAATGAATTGAATGTAAAGAATTTGTATGTTGGAGAAAAATAAATTATTTCTCTTATTTAATTTATTGATAATGAATAATTTTTTTTGAATAAAGACATTGTAGACACATAATTCTAAATTAGAGAAATGTATAGGTATTATTTTTTGTTGTAGCTATTAAATTATTATTTAATTTAATAAGAGTAAAATAGAGTACTAATTATGCCAACTTTGATTGTGATGGGTTCGAACCTAAAACCTTTCATATTGAAATCAATGAGTAAGTTAATGGTGAACTAACATAAATTAACGGAAAAGATAATATTTAACGAAAAAGTTAACGGATAATCATATTCATTAAGGATAAATTTGAAAATCTTAAGAAAAAAATTAAAATATGATAAATCTGAGTCGTTCATTTGATTAAAAAATTTGACCGTCATTTTTTCTACCCATTATAGGCCTAACTCTCTTGGACTCTTATTAGTATAGTAGATAGTATATATATATATATATATATATATATATACTAGTTTTTCTACGCGCTTTGCGCAAATAGGATAATGCCCAATACTTATTTTTAAATAAGTATTTCAAAGTATATCAATGTAATACCAAGACTATGTGGTCTAATGGTACTCGGGTTGGATTTCCATTTGGAAGATTATGAGTTCGAGCCTTAGTGGAGGCGTTATTGATTCTTTGTGTTTTAGTAGGTTGAGAAAGTATATGAACAGATACTACAATGTAATAGGGCCAGTAACATTCAAAAAAAAAAATGTAATATTATATAGAAGATGTTCATGCATAGGATTGATTATATATAACTGTCACAAAAATAAATGTTTGCAACTTTGTAATAACGTTAATCTAAGTACTAAGTCTAAAAGCAATAGTCTAAATAAATATTATTTTTGGTTTAAATTTTTTTAATTCTCTTTTAGGTAGCATTGTTATTGTTTTCATCTTCAGTACATGTCTTTTTTTTTTTTTTTTTTTTTTTTTTTTTTTTTTTTTGTTATTGGTAGTGTGTCATGTGCAATTGGTTTATTGGTAGTATCATAGAGGGACTCATCATGCAATGAGATTATGGTGTATGAAGTTTTAGATTTGTTTTGTTGTGTATATGACTGAGATCTTAGTTGTGCTATGAACTCTTTATCTTACAAGCACATGTTGATATTTGGAAGTGGTAGTTTTCCCCTACATGTTTCATGTGTTGTGAGACATCTAATTCTAAATTAATTTAAATGCATATATATTATTTTTTGTTGTAGCTACTAATTTATTTTTTAATTTAAGTAATAAGAGCAATAAAGTGGAAAAAATTATGATGTGGAACCGTGTCCACCTTTCAAGGGGGACAAAGGTGGACACAGTTTCAAAATTGTTCATAATTATGAATATATAGTTCAGAAATTATATTATATATATATATATATATATATATATATATATATATATATATATATATATATTAACATTTTAAAAAAGTAACTTTTCTATTTTTTAAATACAAAAAAAATTAATATTATTGGAGATTTTTTTTTTTTTTAACTTTGAATTTTAAAAAAAAATCGCGGACCGGCTCGCAGGACCCGTCAACCCGCATGGAGTGGGCTTTGGTTGCATGAACCCTAGCCTGCGAGTTTGGTGGGCCGACTCGCAAAAGCTCGTAAAAAGTTAGGCCCGAAAATTTTGCATGTACATCTCTTGAAAAATGACTTTCCCAAAAAAAAAAAAAAAATCATTTTCTCTCAAAACATACCTATTTTCCTTTGACTAATGCATCATTTGTCATTAACCACATTTTTCCCTCTCTTGTCAAACACTTAAAATTCGAAATCCAAAAATCATTTTCCAGGTTCTCAAACTCACCTTTAATATAAAATGATGTCGATCTGTACTAGAATTCACCATGTAAATAGGATTCTAGTCCACGAAATAATTTGTTATTTATGTGAGCGTGGGACAATCAGGGCCAATTGTAATATCACTATGCATACTGTGCATGTGTAATGCGGTTATGGGAATAGACGAATAGTTAACCTATGACCAAAGGACAAATAACAAGTGAGGTGTCTTACCAAATGGAAGGAGGGCATGTGGCATATGCAAACATCGATAAATACAATCAATGGATGGAAAGTTCAATTTTCAGGACATATATGACAATCAATGGATGGAAAGTTCAATTTTCAGTACATGGATGTTACATCATTACTGCTCCTCAACTTTCTAGTTAGAAAAATTTTAAAATTTGACAAAATCTTTTGTTGCTTGAATTGTCATTTTTAAATGAGCAAGCAGTGTTCACGAATGTACACAAGCTCAAGCTTTTCGCGAGACTAGCATACCCATATTTGGCTCTTGTGAAATGTTAAACACCAAACCAGAAATTATGCCCAATTCTAAATATTTGATAACTTTTGGAAACCTTGTCCAATGATACGTTACACAATACTCATTAATTGAATCATATAACATGCCATTAAAAAGTAAAGACAAAAGTTTTTTTTTTTTTTCTTAGCCGTTTACAAATTTCAATTATTTTACTTTAAGAAAAGAGAATCTATAATTGTGAATAATTGTGAATAAGGTGAAGGGGCATTTGGTTCAAACATTAAAATGAAAATAGTAATGAGAATTGAGTCAAATCAAATCAAATACTTAGTAATATTAATAATTAATAATAATAATAATAATAATAATAGGTTTAAATAGAAAAAATAATAATAATTTAGTAGTAAATAAGAATTGAAATCAAAATAAATAAATAATTAATTAAAATTAATAAATTAATAATAAATATATAAAAGTAGGGAAGGGAAAGGGTAATGGGTTTTATGATTACTAAAAAGTTGAATCGAATAGTAAGATAGCAAAAGAATGCCAACAAAGAGGGTAATTGGTATAAATTCTATAGTATGGTACAAAACTCTAACCAAACACCACATTAGTCCTGCTCTTATAACTCTAATTGCTATAACTAGTTAATGACATAGTAAGAAGAAAATTACGTATTTGGCAAGAAACTTGAATGATAAAGGATAGAGATTGTCCACGAATGATCTAATTCTGTATAAACAGATTGAGTATCCGGCCAGGCAAGAGATTCATTAGAATCACTTGTTGAATTTTCATGAATGGTCTGTATAGAATGAAGTTCAAACTGGATGTGTTACAATATATAGACTTAAGCCTTTATAAAGAACATTTTTCAAGTTCTTGGTCGAACTATTTCTGGGTAAAACTACAAAAATGAAACAATATTCATGTTCAGGAACTGCATATGTAAAGAAGATACCTAAGAGCCATACGATGAGGAGGCCTACTAGCAGCTTGTAGCCAATCAGTCGATCTTGACGGAAGAGTATATGAGCCTTGTGAACCAGAAGCAAGCGTAGAAACCGATAGTGCCAGTGAGCACAAAAAATGCGTAAGAAGCAATGAGCATGTAACCGAAATACAATATTCCAGAAACAGGCTTTGTAATCTCCAGTTTGGTGAAGAAATAGAAGGTAGCGTAGAGGAATAGGTAGAGTGCTGATGAGCCTGATGTTAGGTAAGATCGCCACCACCATAGGTAGTCTTCACTGCATAACTGGAAATAACATAACACAATTGTTATTTCTGCACACGTGACAATCAGAATGATGAAGACAATGAAGAGGAACCCAAAGAGGTAGTAAAACTGGTTCAGCCAAATGGAGGTGAGGATGAAGAAGAGCTCAATGAAAACAGCTCCGAATGGGAGTATGCCTCCAATTAGAACCGAGAATATAGGGTTCATGTACCAAGCCTGCTCGGGGATTTGCCTTGGTATTTTATTAGTCTTCACAGGATCCTCGATGACGGGTTTCTTGAAACCAACATAACTGCCCACAAAAACAAGGGGAACTGAGATTCCAAACCATAAGAAGACAAGTGCAAACATTGTCCCAAATGGAACCGCCCCTGATGACTTCTCGCCCCAGATGAGTGCATTTAAAACAAAAAAGATGGCAAAGACGGTAGCTGGAAACAGGATGGCTGTCCTCAGAGCAATTTTCTTCCATTCTGTACCCTTAAACATCTTGTAAAGACGGGCAGAGGAATAACCGGCAAACAGTCCCATGAAAACCCAAAGCAAGAGCATGGCTGTCATTAGACCACCACGATTTGAAGGAGAAAGGAAGCCAAGGACAGCAAATATCATTGTTACAAGCATCACACCGAAGAACTGTACACCAGTTCCCACATAGATGCAAAGCAAGTTTGAGTTAGTGGGGGGCCTGAAAACATCAGAATGCACTAGTTTCCATCCTGTTTCTTCTTGAGCCTCCTCCTGGGTCTCAAGTTCATTATATCTGGAAATGTCACGATACAAAGTCCGCAGCATAATCATGGCCACCATACCCGAGAGGAAGAGAACAATCATCAAAGAATTTACTACTGAAAACCAATGGATTTGATCATCTGCCATCAAAAGATAGGTATCCCATCTAGATGCCCACTTTACCTCACTTTCCTGCATTTGCAGAGATATGATAAAGCTATTTAGCAATAATATTTTAATGAGCATTCATCTACATAAACTAGGTGTTAAGCTACATTACCTGGAACTCAACATCATATGTGAAAATGATTTCTTGTTTATTCTCAACCTCTTGCGGAGAATTTGAGTTAGACACTGTCCGCTTTGCATGTGGATCACAGGTTGTCAAACGAGTATTTGCTCTCCATTCTCCTTCATATTCATGCTTGACACTAGATGTATAATATACAAATAAATTGACATATTTGGCACAAAAAGAGCAAGTACACTTCTTATAGAAACTAAGGTTTCATAGAAGAATCAAAACCTGAATGGCATGACCTCAAATCCCACAATCCTGGCTGAGTCAGTCTGCAAATCTCTATGATACTTGACTGTAAAAGTCAAGTGATTGTGAATAAAAAACTTTTCATCCTTGCTCTGAGCATGATTACACAGTATTAGTAAATAGAAATAAAAATAAAAATAAAAACCTCTTGGTAATAATTCCATTTTAGGGTTCTAGCCTTTTAGGACAAGACTAAGGAACTTACCCCAGCATATTGTCCTTTGACACCAATATAATATCCTTGCTGATATGCAGGAGGGCTTTCTTGGTCCAACCTTCGAACTGGAACAACCAATGGAAGATTATCCAAGATCCTGCCACATAAATCAACAATTTCTTTTTTAAAAAGTAACCAAAAAAATAAAATAAACTCAGATCAGATATTCAAAGATAATGCAGTAGTATAATATGACAAGGTGGCATACATGTTCACACGGTACTCATCATCAATCTTAGTTTTGAATTCTTTTGCAGTTTTTTCATCAAGAACAACCCGACAAACAAAATGGCACATCTCTGGTTCCCTCATTTTAAACTACAAAATAACCATGACAAGAATGCGTCAGCTATTGTAATTTACAAAAACAAAGCCGAAAAACCACGGTGCATATTGAACTCACCACAAAAGCAGAGTTCTCAATTCTGTCACCACGAAGTACTTCCCCAAGATTTTCTCTACTGTCAAGAATTTTTTCTGGACGGCAGAATGGGACAGTATAGTATGAGTAAGGAAGTTGAGTCTTCGTAGAACTCAGCTTATTTACTTTGACAGACAACAGATCTCCCTGCAATAATCATTTAAAAAATAACACCCACATTACTAAATCTTATTCAAAAAAACTTGAAATATTTAAACCATAATAGCACAAAGTTAAATGAGAAGAGAGTATAGGCCTTGGTTTAAGCAGAAGGATAGACCCATTGCACAAGACAACTAGATCATGAAAGATATGGGAAAGTAACACACGCCATCATAACCACTTTTAGAGATTTGCAGGGATTGAGCCCATATCCTACTGGCTAACGATGAGCTCTTGGCCATTATGCCAAGAACATCCTTCCCATACTAAGCAGGTATATCAAATTTGTTTGATTAAATATTCAAAAATCATGCAATGAGAAATTATATGCAACTGATCTGCCCACTATTATAAATACCCACATTGGAACATGAAGTTGAAGATCCTTAAGTCTTAACTGATCCAGCACAACATATTAGACCATATAATACCTAAATTGTTCCCATTTTACTAGATTTTATGCTTGTGGATAAGCCAAGTTCTATCATATGCATTCAGAAGAAATAAATTGGAATGCAAAACCTCAGTAAGTATCCAAATTTTAGATTATTTGCTAATGGTATACACCTTCAGAGTATAGAATGACAAGTATATGCTCCAAATACTTTCATCTTCCTATATGCACACCACTTCCATGAGACCCAAGTTGATAACCTACCTAAGAGGCTAAGCTGTGTCTCATATTCATCCCAACAGGTATCCTACTCTTAATGCTATTAGGGTCACAATAATGCTTGCAGCTTGACCACTTAAAACCCCATGTTCAAAAAACAGGTTTCTTCTAAAAACTCATTGTCTACTTAAATATCTAATAAACACAATGAGACTTGAACAGTTAGATGAATGACAGTACCTCTTAATGAGACAACTATAGCTTTAAAGAATAATGAAACAAACTAAATTCGTTCACCTATGTTCCATGAATACACTTCCACTTATGCTTTGCACATAACAAAGACATTAACCCATCAAGCAAAAAGTACAGTAAACAGAAGACCCATATCAGTAGGCAACTCTGTTTCATTTAAGGGATGGTAGCAGTAGCAAAAACATATCAATCACAAATTTACAAATATGTTAAAATAAGTTTCAAAATAAAATTTTTCTTTTGAGTTATATTTAGTAAATGATATATAAAAAGGGACCCCTTCTAGTAAATAGATTATACTAACATTAATAAATCAGAACTGTCTCGCCTTAATAAGTACATTTACATTATAGTTCAATATGTCAATGCATATTGTTAGAAAGAGAAAACAGGGTGAAGTTAGTAAACCATTCATGCACAACAAAGTATGCAACTAGCAAAAACATATAATGTGCAATGATTGTTGAAACTGGTCTATTTTTCATTTTGAAAAGAAAGTTATCTTTTTTTTCTTCTCTTCAATTTTCCCTTTTTTCATTTTGGATTTGTGGCAGGTAAAAGCAGATTACATTTCTAACAAGTATTATTGAGGCAAATGACATAAATTCAATTTTGGCGATACTAATCATCTGCACACCCCACTTACATAGACTACTGATACATAAAATGCCCCCATCTCAATTACATAGCTTTGAACATTAGTTATTCAAACAATATGTTCTTCTGATTTCCTTCCATTCATACATAATATACATTGCATCTACCGAAAAAAAATATATATCAAATTCTCATTTCCTAACACTGCAGTTATATAATCCATAGTGCGATTTCAATCCGTTTCATCTCCTAACCAGCAACACATTTTTCACAACCATTCGTCCAAACCGGATCACTATAAGAATCACGAGATTAAAATTCACCAGTCATACACTCAAAAGACAGAGAGAGGGATGGGAGAAGAGAGATCAAGCAGATCTGACGGGTAAACCAAATCAAACGGAACAAAAAGCAAACAACATATCAGCACAGACTTACAAAAGCACTGAAAATTGAAAAAGCATCAAAACCTGAATATACACATACACATGGACATATCCATACATTAAAAAAAAAAAATGGAAATACTAGAGAGGAATGTGGACCTTATGGAAGTCTTCGGGGGCGACGCCGGGGAGGTAGAAAGATCGGGCATGGTGGAAGGTGAGAAAGAGCGCAATTGTGATCAATGCCGGAGACGGAAGCGGAGATCGACGAGGTCTTCCCATGGCGGAAGAGAGACGGGAAATGGGTGCGTTAGATGATCGAGCGATCTTCCTCTCAGATCCAGAACGCGGAGCTATGACTTATGAGAAATGTGTCATATATCATATATGTACTGTGCGTGTAAAAGACTCGATTTTATTTGTATTTTTCATTTATTTCTTTTCCTATTTTTGGAGATTGTCGGTTGCCCAGTTTTGTTCTTCAACGGGGGCCCAGGCCCAAATCTTGATTGGGACGATAATCTGCGTAATCGTTATCAAGGTGGACACGGTTCTATATTCATAATTATTGGACAATATGTTCATAATTATAAAATTATATATTCATAATTTTTGAATATATTCATAATTATTAAACTTTATATTCACAATTACAAAACTCTATATTCATAATTATTGAATTATATGTTCATAATTATAAAGCTAATAGGAATATACCTTCCTCGTCTAGCACGCTACTGTCAGTCCCTTACCGCGTCATCAAGGCGGTCCCAGGCTGACCAGGACCGACCGGAATTGATCGGCGGCTTCGTCCCGACTGGCTTGAAATCGATCAGCATGGCGGTGACAAAGTGTGTGTTAGAATGTTAGTACCATGCGTCGCAAGCTCCTACGACCTGGGTGCTGACCAGTGCATGTGAGCCACGTGCCATACATGTTGAAGGGTCGGGCCGTGTTCTCTCCCTCCCCTATAAATACCCGCATTTATTACGGTGAGAGGGACTTTTGACTTACTAGGCACCGGGGGCTACTTGATCAGAGGAGATCGAAAAGGCTTGATTCAAGCCCGAGCTCGCATGCGCCGGCACCTGCGGGCACGAATGTCGTCCGGAAATTGGCTGGCCTCCGAGAACACAACTCTCGTGCATCTGTGACCACGAGAGTAGTGCACTCTCGGGTTGCACCACAGTGCGCACGAGAGATGTACTCTCGTGTTGCCTGGTCCGTGTGCTCTCGTGTGAACCTGCACCCCAACGGTCTGAAACCCGAAAGTTCAGCCAACCTGCACCCCAACGGTCTGAAACCCGAAAGTTCAGCCTGTTGTACAGATTAAACTCATCTGTTACAGAATTAATACTGTTTTAATTCCAACCGTTACAGGTGTTATACAATCGGGTTGCACCACAGTGCGCACGAGAGATGTACTCTCGTGTTGCCTGGTCCGTGTGCTCTCGTGTGAACCTGCACCCAAACTGTCTGAAACCCGAAAGTTCAGCCTGTTGTACAGATTAAACTCATCTGTTACGGAATTAATACTGTTTTAATTCCAACCGTTACAGGTGTTATACAATTGGTTTAATACCAATTAATGGCCATGTTGAATGCTATCCCTTCCAACATCCCTATATAAAGAGAGGTAGAGCAGTAGCTTTTTACACAGTACGAAAACGAAAGGAACTCCAGTAGCTTTCAGCTTCTCAAAACTCTGCTTCTACTCTCTTCTTTACCAACTAGTGTTCTCTACTTTGCTTTGTTTGCCGGGTTCCTTGTTTAGGTGCTTAAACAAGGAATCGTAGCACGTTTTATCCTGGGAAACCTAGGCTACAACGCTCCTAGCACTTGTGGGAGCAAATAAGGTTTTAAGGAAAAGAACTTCGTGTTCGAACTCGTGCTAAACCTATACCCAAACACTCAACCTTTTTCTTCCCAGTTTTTCTGTTTTCCCAGATAATATTAGTCTTTTCGTAGGATTAATATTTTTGGAAATTTTCAACCATATTACCCAACAATCTTAAAACCTTATATCCGTTTCCCGTTGGTTGTTTATCTCTAATTTCCTAGAAGAAATGGAGAATCCAGTTTTGCCAGCTCTCGGGGAGGAGAATGTTGTTGAGAACAACAATGGTGGGAATGGCAATAATGTTGCTAATTCCCAAGCTACACCAGTGAACATTGGTTCACAAGATGGTGGGAGCACCGAGGGATATATTCCCATGACTCGGGTACCTACGGTACCGAGTGGTTCGGCCGAAAGACCGGAGAAATTCACCGGTATTGGATCGAATTTCAAAAGGTGGCAACCAAAGATGTTGTTCTACCTAGCAACTCTCGGCTTGGCGAGATTTTTGACCGAGAAGGTTCCCGAACTAAGGGAATAGGATGCCCAATCCGTGATGGCAGTTGGCTATTGGAAGGATTCGGACTTCCTATGCCGAAACTACATCCTGAACGGATTATGTGATGCGTTATACGATGTATATCGCAAGATTGGCACAGCGAAAGCGCTGTGGGAAGCCTTGGATCATAAATACCGAAGTGAGGATGTCGGCGCAAAGAAATTTGTGGTTGGCCCATTCCTTGACTTCAAAATGGTTGATTCCAAAACCGTGCTGAGTCAGGTTGAAGATTTACAACTAATCTTTGATGAAATTCGTGACGAAGGCATGACGTTGAATGAAGCCTTCCTAGTAGGATCTGTTATCCACTTGCTGCCTCCAGGGTGGAAGGACTTCAAGAATTACCTTAAGCATAAGCGAAAGGAAATGAACCTGGAGGACCTGATCCAGCGACTCCGAATTGAGGAGGGGAACAGGACGAATGATGGCAGAAATTCTGTCACTGTTGGCGCTAAAGCCAATGTTGTGGAGCATGCTAAAGGCTCCAAGAAGAACAAGAAGGACAAGCAAAAGCTAGGTCCGAAAGGAGGCATCACCTAGAAGAAATTTCACGGAAAATGCTTCAATTGTGGCAAGTCTGGCCACAAGTCCTCTGAGTGCAAAGTTCCAAAGAAGAAGAACAAGAGTTCTGAAGCCAACATGGTTGAGGAAAGGAATCAGAAAGAGGTCGAGATTAGCCTTTCGGCTATGGTGACCGAGGTGAACCTCGTGGACTCTAACCCACGAGAGTGGTTCATCGACACTGGTGCAACAAGGCACTTGTGTTGCAATCGAGAAATGTTCAACACCTTTGAGACCGTTGAGGGCGAGAAGGTTTGGATGGGAAACTCTGCTCAGTCTGCTGTGGAAGGCGTGGGCAAGGTGGTTCTGAAGATGACTTCCGGGAAGGAACTAACGTTGAACAACGTGCTGTATGTTCCAGAGCTGAGGAAGAATCTGGTGTCTGGCTCACTGTTGAACAAGCATGGCTTTCGCATGGTGTTCGAGTCAGACAAGGTTGTTTTGTCTAAGTTAGGAATGTTTGTAGGCAAATGTTATGTAAATAATGGGCTTTTTAAGCTCAATGTAATGCCTATTATCATGAATAAGAGCAAAGTTAGTTCCGTTTACTTGCTTGAGTCTTCCAATTTGTGGCATGGTAGACTAGGTCACGTTAATTATAATTCTATACGTAGATTAATTAACATGGACCATATTCCTAATTTTCAAATTAACACAAATAACAAGTGTGAAATTTGTGTTGAGGCAAAATTAACGAAAGTACCTTTCAAATCGGTTGAAAGGGAAACTGAACCACCAGAATTAATCCATAGTGATTTGTGCGATTTTAGATCGATACAAACGAGAGGTGGTAATAAATATTTTATCACGTTTATCGACGATAGCACACGTTATTGCTATGTGTATTTGCTTAAAAGCAAAGACGAAGCCTTGGAAAAATTCATTCTTTATAAGAATGAAGTTGAAAACCAACTTAATCGTAAGATTAAGAAAGTTAGAAGCGATGAGGTGGTGAGTACGAAGCACCTATTGGTGACTTCTGTGCGAGTGTAGGTATAATAAACGAGCGTACTGCACCTTACTCACCTCAATCGAACGGTGTTGCCGAACGAAAGAATCGTACATTGAAAGATATGATGAATGCGATGCTTATAAGTTCGGGCCTACCTCAAGATGCGTGGGGTGAGGCTATTCTGACAAGTAATTACCTTTTAAATAAGGTACCCCACAAGAAGCTTGATAAGACTCCTTATGAGCTGTGGAATGGTAGGAAACCTTCCTACCAGTACCTGAAAGTAGAGCCGTCAAAATGGGCTTAGCCCACCGGGCTTTCCCGCCCCGCCCGCCAAAAGGGCGGGGTGGGCTCGTCTTTTTGAAGCCCGTATTAAAAATGGGCTTTTTTGCCCGCCCCGCCAAGCCCGCGGGTTTGGCGGGGCGGGCTCTCTTTAAAAAAAAAAAACATAATTCTAATTCTAAATTCCTAAATCCTCCTAATCGGCTAAATTCCTAATTTCAAATACTCAAAGGCCAAACACCGCACAGCCATCCCCATCCACCATCCGCCAGCCCTTGTCTGCCGCGACCACCGTCCACCGCAAACAACCGGCGACCACCGTCCACCGTCCACTGCGCGCACAGTCCGGCGGCCTCCGCTCCACGCTCCACGGCACAGTCAGGTAATTTATTTCGTTTTTTTTTCTTTTTCTTTTTCTTTCATTTAATTTATTTGATTTTTATAGTATACAAATCTATAAATGTTAATCTATTATCTATTATTCTATTATGATTTATGCTGTACATATGAATATTGAATAATATGATTATATGATAAATTGATAATATATATGAATATGATTGTCTATACATACTGGTCTACTCACATGTATACTACTCATTTGTTTAAAATAATGTACTGATTTTTTTTTTAAACAGTGTACTGCTCAGTTTGTTTGTGATGGATTCAGTGTCTTTGAACCAAACTGCTCATACCATTGCCGATGATGATGTTGATGGAATGCCAGGAATGGATAGTTCTACAAAGAAAGGTAAGTCTAAACAACTTACCTCTGATGTGTGGACTTATTTTACAAAGCTTCCAATTGGTGAAGATGGTATTTCAAGGGCAAAATGCAATGGTTGTTCAAAAGAATTTAAAGCTGGGGGGAAAATAAGTGGGACTTCTTCATTAAAGAGACACAAAGAAACATGTAGGATGTTAAAGTTTCATGATGTTGGGCAAATGTTTGTTAATCATGAAGGCAAACTTGAATCTAGGAAAGTAGATCTAAATGTTGCTAGGGAGTTGTTAGCTTCTGCAGTCATCAAACATGATTTACCATTTGCATTTGTTGAATATGATGGTATTAGAAAATGGCAGAAGTATTTGAATCCCGATGTGCCTTGTATCTCTAGAAACACACTTGTGTCTGACATTACTAAGATCTATTTTCAAGAAAAAGAGAAGCTTAAACAAGTGTTGGCAAA